AGAGTACACCCACTTCCTGTAACACTAACCGTAACATTCCAGCAGGTAAACTATGGCAGTCGCCTCTAAATGGACAATTAGCCAAGATTAAAGGCAAGCTCCTCGTCTTTCTCCATTACCTTAATAAGGAGGAAAAGACATCTCAAATGACCCCGGCTCCCTTCAGCCTTCTCTCTGTGCCTCATTCTTCTTTCTTCATCCAGCTTCTTTTCTCCTCACCTTGGAGCTAAGTTATTTTGATTGTACAATAACACCAGAGGAGGGTGACGTCCACATTTTCACATCTTGGAATGCCACTGAAGCACTTGGATGTTGTGCCTTGCTCAAGGGTAACACAATGGTGTTGAAGAGTATGTCTTATCCACTCATCAGTGTAGGCCTTTCAGGTCATGAGTCGATGACCGTTGCAGTCTTATCGCCACTTTCCTTCATGAATCCCTTTCTCACTTCTGGTGCTTACCTCCTTGCAGCCTTTTAAAACCCAACCTTATCTCTTCTTTAATGTTCTAGGTTTTATATTATGCTATTACCCAGCCTGGCCTACAGTGAGTGAGCATGTAGGGATTAAACATCAATCTCAAAAGCACTTTGATTGGATAAAATCCCTTACTAGCATCCCTCTGAGCAGAAACCCGCTTATCTTTCCATTAAGCCTCCAAACCCCTTTTACACTGAATGTTTGGCTTCTCATATACCTGCTGTGAAACATTTTATGGGATGCATTGAGAACACTGAGCAGCAGCTGTGTTAGAGAGTAGAAAAAAGCTAAAAACTAAAAAAGACAGACAGCTTTACTACACTAGAGCACTGTTTACATCAGCCTTTTTTTTTGTTGGGCACATCTATGTTATTAAAATGTTTTACTTTATGTGTTCTCTTATTTATTTTACATCTGTCAAACACTTGCTGTTGTTTTAAAGTACTGTATAATAACTTTTATCTTGACTTAAGTGTTTGCAATACTGCACTTGCGAGTTTACAATAAACATCATTTTAAATAAGATTCAACAGCAAAATATATTTTCTTTCTGTTTATGCAATAAAGTGATTCAAATGAGCGTCACCTTTTCTCAACAGTGGCCACAAGTGATATGAGGTTATGGTAAGTGCTGAAACATTGTGTAACAGTAGCACAAGTAGAGAAGATTCATAAAGACAGCTGACTCACTACGGATCAAAAACCTATTGAGGGTACTGATCCAGCAAGGGTGTGTTTTACTGTTTATGAACTCAACCCTTAATTTGTAACAGAAGAATGTATCATTTCATCTTTTAAATACAGTCTTTTTTAAACAATGGACTCCAGCTAGTTGTTAAGTTTAGATTTTAAGTTATATATCAGCATTTCTTATTGCAACAGTCCCAGGTTTCTGCATCTATACTGTAAGACAATGCTTTTACTTAAGTGTCCATAAATGTTGCAACATTGTCAAAAATCACCTCATCCATTATGTATGCACTCAATATCTGAAGCCACACTGGAGCTACAGTGGTGAA